ACTGTCGCCCGATATGTCGACCGAGTCCACCTATAGTACACATGATCCAAGAAAAGACGAGTTCACCATGGTTTAATTATGTCACTCGTGTGTCGAGCTTAATGATTTGCTAAGCTGTCATGACCTCCCATGAGCTGAAAAGATCATCATGTTTGATCTTTTACTCTCCTTATCCAAGCCATTTTTTAAGTGTGTGGCGTCTCGCTGCTAATTTTGTTCTTGTTTGGCTGGAAACCGCTATTGGGCGTGTTGTTTCTTTTGATTCTTTCACTGTATTTAAGGTAATTTTTATTATCAACTGAGTTGACTACCGTAAATTGGCCACCGTAAAGAATTTAAAAGCTGAACTTTTCGAGCAGTAGCCCTTCGTCTATCGCTTTCACGAAGGGTTTACGTTCGAAACAATGGCCAATTTACGCTATTAACACAGTTGATAATACTAAATGACCATTTTATACTCTCCCACCGACGTAGCACCATAGTTTCTTTAGAAACTTACCCCCTCTATTTGTCTTACGTTTTAGTTAAGCTCAAGACAGAATGGTAAACCGATAGGATACCCGTACTCAAATTGGTTTCATGTTCGAAAAGTCTCGAATTTTCCTTTTCTCTGCGTAGTGTTCCTGGCCAAAGCTACTCAGTCAAGCTCAGGTAATGTTATTTTGATTCATAGCCGACGCTTGAGTGTCGTAGTAATCAGGTATGGAAATAAGCTACGCGCTAGTCAGCTACATGCTTGTACCTCTCACTGTTGTTGAATCCTGTTGGCTGGGGTTACTTCTTGGTTGGGTAGGTGACCGTACGTAGTATCGCGTGTTGTTGACTCTTTTTCTTTGTCTTTATTCATTGAATTTATTATTTTTAATGTAAAACCAGAGTGACTGTGGACTATATACATATCATGGTAACCCCTCTAGGCGTCATGTTCGATCACAAAGAGGATCGCAAACAGAACGTATAGTTTCTCTTTTTCAGGTGTCACAGCCTTATCACTTGTCTACACTGTCCAACTCTCAGTGGACACGTTACAATATGGTGTTAAGCAGTGCGCTGAAGTTGAGAATTACAAGACATCTGCAGAATGCATTATCGCTTACACTAACATTGAACAAGAATCTGGGTATGAGTGTCAACACCAGCCTCCGCTGGAAAACTGGCCACAGCTTGGTCAAGTGAGAAAAGAGAACCTTGGTTTAGTTTATTACGAAGTTGGACTAAAAATTCTTAAGGATGTCTGCTTTACGGTTGATTCACACGAAAAAATTGGAATTGTTGGTCGCACCGGAGCCGGCAAGTCTTCACTGCTTTCAGCCCTATTCCACATGCCTCAATCGACTTATTATTATTATTAAAATTATTTAGAGAGGGAGCCCAGCTCGCCATAGCGGTTTTCAGTGAGGCCCTCAAAATTAACAATATGTAAAATAAATAATCGCGTAATTAATAGGTAAAAGCATAACAGTGGGAACTATGAAATATCTAAAACATGATATAAACAGAAAATAACAAAATCGATGAACAAGAGATGATACACTAAACGACCATTAAGATTCAAAATGTTTAAGCAATGAAATTTTAAAAGCATCATAAGGTAGACATCTCATGTCTTCTG